TTTAAATTATTAAATATTATATATTGTTAAATTTTTTAATTATTAAAATTTAACAAATATTTATTTTTAATAAAATTTAATATTGAAATAAAAAAATTTAAAACATATATTAAAAATATATTTTGACAATTATACCAGTTAAAAATATCATAAATTTGAACATATTGCCCAAATTCAATAGGATGAATGAGAAAGTATAAATACATAGAGGATTATTATACATAGAAAAATGTTACTTAAGAAGATGTCAAACTAGAATTAATTGTTTATTAAAATATTAAATTTATTGATTTTATTTTTTTATTCAAACCTCGTCATTTATGTTATTTTTTATTATTAATTTTATTATATTTTAAAAGTTCATATTACCCTTTAAAATCTAATAAAATCCTTTCAATTCTTATAAATTCTTAGGATAAAAATCCATATTATAAAATATTGATTAAAAAACTCAATAAAAAATTAAAAGTTGTTACATTTTTACAAAATCTTTTGAAAAATCTTAAAATTCATTAAATTATTACAAAATCTTTTAAAATTCACAAGACTTTTTTTGTACTAAAAAAATCTTATAAAATCTCAATCCAATACACTACTAAAAAGATTTATAATGCTTACACACTCTATTCAACCAATTGAACAAGACTCCTAATTTGAGTCTAATAATATGCATTGTTTGTATAATATTTTTATATATTTAATCTTTTAGAAATAATTTGTTTATAACTTTTACCATTCATTGTAAAATAAATAAAATATTAGGTTTAAATATGTTTTTGGTTTGTCAAGTATAGTAGTTGTGCACTTCTAGTTTCTCAATTTAATTGAGCAATTTTAGTTTCTCTAGTATTGCAGTTGTGCAATTTTGGTCTATCAATTTTTTATTAAACAATTTTAATCTTAAAATACCACAATTATATGATTTTAGTTTCTCAAGTATCTTAATTATACAAATTTTTTCCTATTTAATTTACATATATTAATAATTTTTGTAATAATAAATATATATCGTTTAATACATGAATAAAAATTAATTATAATATATGTAACTTAGATAGGTCAAAAAGTATATTATTGTGATAATTGAGGGACGAAAATTGTATAATTGTGATACTTAAGGAATTAAAATTTTTTAATTAAATTTTGGAGAACCAAAATTGCACAATTGTGATACTTAAGAGACTAAAATTATTCAATTAAAAGCTTAGACACCAAAATAACACAATTATGTTGCTAGAGGGATAAAAAAACACAATTAAGCCAAAATATTATTATCATGGACAAAAACTAATGTCAATCTTCTCGCATGAGTGTTCAATTTACTCTATATTTTATAAATAATAATAATAATAATAATAATATTATTATTATTATTATTATTATTATTATGAGCATTATGAGTATTTAGTTATGTATTTTGGTGTGACTAATGCACCCAAAATTTTCATAGATTATATGAATAAGATTTTTTACCTCTACCTTGATAGATTTGTAGTAGTCGTCATAGATGACATTCTCATATACTCTAACACTAGGGAGGAGCATGCAAAAGGATAGTGTTAATGTACCCTCCAGATCTCCAATTGGCCAAACTAGCCACTCAATGGCTCTTTGTGTCATCAATACTCGAAGTTCGGTCGACCAGTTCAGTCAATTGGAGATCTGGAGGGTACAGTTACAAACCTTTAAGGATAAATAGTTATATGCTAAGTTATCCAAATGTGAGTTCAATTGGATAAAGTTAAATTCTTAAGACATGTAATTTTTTAGGGAGGGATGGTTGTAGATTCTTCTAAGGTAGAAATTGTACCCATGTGGAAGGCACCAAAGTTAGTATTTGAGATTAGGAACTTTTAGGATTAGTTAGTTACTATAGGTGGTTTATAAATAATTTCTCTAGGTTAGCCTTATCTTTGACAAAGTTAATTAGAAAGAACCAACCTTTTGTTTGGAACTCTAGGTGTGAGGAGAGTTTCCTATAACTTAAGAGGAGACTAACTAATGCACCTATTATAGTATTACCTGACCCTAGTGCAACCT